TTGCTCATTCTCATGTGCAGTTTAAAGGAAATGGCAAGCATGAATTTCATGTTGGAGTCAATTGTTGCCCTTTTGCGATTTATACAATCATCATTAATTTCACAACGACTTAAAAATTTCATAATTCTTTATTTTATATTTACCAATAAGCATAAGGCAGCATTATAAATAAAATATAATAAAATAAAAATCGATCTCAACTTAAAGGTTCATTTTCTTATTATTTCTATGGCAATGCTCACGTCATCACCAATCCCATCGCGTGGTGTTTTGAAGGAGAAGCTTAAAAAACTTGAGCAAATTTTTTTTCTTATGTCAGTTTTCGTTTTAATTTCCAAGAACTTTTAGTGCAGTTTTTTTTTTCGCTATTTTCTTGCATTATGCAGTTTATTTCCCGTAAAAAAATTCACTCATCGTATTATTATGCAAAAGAAAACATGCTTAAACAAGTTGTTGCTCGATTTTTTGACTAACATATTCATGCATGATGAATAAACGTAAGCTGAAAAATTCAATTTCGCTCGATCAACACTTTAAAAAAAAAATAGTAAAACTTTAGAATAATATCTATGAAAAATTACTTTTTGACCTTGATTCACTCTATCGTTCATGAAAAGTTATTTCATAAAGAAAGAATAAAAACATCATGAATATCCGCATCATTTTTTTTGCGAATGTTTAGTATCATCGACTAAGTTGTTATTTTAGCGCATTTTAATAAAAACAAAATGATCACTTTGCATAAATAATTGATTGATTGAATGCTGAATGATCAAGGAACTGTATTCAATTTGTATAATTTATTAAATTTTTTTGTGAATAACTTTTAACGGTTTTTTGAATTTTAAATGACAAAAGTTCAACAATTTGAAATTATAAGTTCGTTAAGTTTTGATTTTTTTTTTCCAAAAAAATACACTGACAATAATGTACTCTCAAAACTACAATCTCTTCTTTTTCTTCACTTTATTTTGTAACAGAACTTGAATGAAAAAACATACAATAACTTGTATTAGTAGCATGAGAATCTGGCAACATCTCAAAACTCGCCTCCAATTTAACTTTTTGTTTTCAATCATGGTTCATGATTTTGCTAAGGTCAACTTTAAATCAACGCCGAATGCAAAATGCTGTTTTTTTTTTGAAAATAAAAACAAATAAATTCAATGTGGGAGAGGATCATTTACAATAAGGTAAAATTCCTATTATGAAAATTACAGACAAAGCACCTTTTTATAACGTTTAATGTTACAAAAGCTTTTATAGTGAATAAAATAAAACGAAAAGTATTTTTTGGACGTTTTTCTATTTTTCTCTTTGACTTGATTGACGTATTTATTTGAATCATATGTGAATAAATAAATGAAAATATGTTTTATTTATGACAATTGTAAGAACTCCAACGCAATCTTAACATTACTAAAAGATTTAAATGAAGAAAAAAATAAACAAAAACAAAAATTACAATTTCCTAAAATTTAAATTGATTGCGAAAAGTTTTCAGTCAGAATTATAATTTGTAAATTGAAGATACATAAAGAAGGTACCGCCGTAATCTTTGCATTTGATCATATCCCGAAGTGTATCGAAGAAGAGTTTTCAATATCTGCCGATTATGTTAAATTCAACTTAGCCAAACTGTTATCCTTATTTAATTTTTTGATATCGATCAAGGATTTTTGCCTCAAAATTGTCCAATCAAAAACATAATAGTTCTCAACATTACATGACTTACGCAATACACTATATGGAAGAGAAAAGAAGAAAATATTTTTAAAATTAGTAACAGTTCTTAGCAACTAAGTTGATGGCTTTTGAGGAGGTTTTGAAGATTTTATGAAGATGATATTGGATTTTTATTTGAAATTAGATTTTAATATTGTTCAATGTTGAAAAAATCTTCGGCAGATACTGATTTATTTGATTGAAAGTAAGAAAATCTTTACGAATAAAGTTTAATAAATAAATAAAGTAATTTGATGAAAATGGGTAATTTAGGTTTAAAAATCTGACTTTTAAAAAAACTTTCGAATGATGCCATCAAATCTAGAACTTAATAAATTCTAAAATTAATCAACGCAAAGAAAACTCATCAAAAACAGATTCAGCTATGAATATAATAAATAAACAATTCAGAGTTTGATTTCATTTGAATTTAATTCAACTTAAAAATAGAAAATTGTTTTTAGAAATCACAAAACTTTATTCTCAACTTAATAACATTTTTTTTTTAATTAAAGCAGAAGCAGACACATATATGACATATTTAGTCAAACTAGTCTCATTATTGCAATTCAGATAATGAAAATCAATTAGAGGCAGAACTTCTGATAATTTTTTTTTTTTTTTGGGGGGGTTTAAAGCTTTCGTCACTCAAACAAAACTGCACAGTTTCCTACAAATAAGTAAACATAAAAAATAATTTTCCGGGTTTCTTTTGTCAGCACGAAAAAAATATTCTACTAAATTTACATGAAAAGAACGCAGCATTCAGCAGTTTAAAGTGAATATAAAGCAGAACACATAAGCATATTTTTTCTATGCTCACACAGTGAACGTGTTTAAGTTAAATACATTTTTTAATGTTCATAGATTATTTATAAATTTGCTTTTTAATTATGTAGATGCATGTAGATAGAGGTGCATCTATTCCTTCTCTTTTAGTTTGAATATGATGCTGGTAATGCAAAATTTATTGCAAAAATTTTCTGCTCTCAATACACATCTATAATTAGATGCTTAAGTTTATTTGGCAATGAAGCTCTATTATTCATATTAATGAATGTGCCATCATTCAGGATGTGATAACAAAAATTATTATTGATGAAGCTCAAGACAATGTTTTACCAAAATCACATTTATTGCAGATTCAGACATGTAATAAGGATTAATATTAATAATGAGCGACTTTCAATTAACATGATGTAAAACTCGTGTCAACTTTATTAAGTCTAATTCTCATTGTGAGTATCCTAATAATACACTCATGGATTTATTACGTGTGAATGACTGAATATGAACTGATAAAATGGAGAAAAAAAAAATAACTCGATATGATGAAATAATTAAGTTTGGAAAGTTCATACATACCTAGCAAAAAAATAATGTTTTCGCATTTTCTTTTCATAAATTCCAACTGACATTTAAAATTCATAAAAGCTATTCAAATTCAAAATTTTTGAACTTTCAAGATTTAAATCTCAAAAAACCGTTAAAACTTAAATTTAAAATATTCATGTTTTTCAATAATTATTCAATCACTCTTTTGTCCATCAGCTGTTGACTTTTTCTCGCAACCAATATAATTCACATGGTGCCTTTATTTGTTTTGCAAAAATACGCTAAAAACGTACATTATCAAAACAATTTTCGCAACGTAGCAGCTGTCATGCTAAGCTACTACATATGTACGAAATAAAAATATGATTCATAGTTCGGAGTTACATTTTTCTCATACACATACAAAAAGTTCATTCCAAAACACAATACAGAAATTTTATTTCCAGCTAATATTAGACGCAATTCTTTCATATTGATAACAAATAAAAAAAAAATGTTAATTTCTATCACAATAAAGGAACGTCTAATTAATAATGAGTCTTGTCAGATTTCCAAAAAGATAAATCAAGAATATTGGCCAGACTTGAAGTATAGAATCGATATTTTTCTTGAACTTGAGTCTCTTTTTGTCTCTCTACATCCTTCCTCCCAAAAAGGATTTATTTATTTTTAATCGAAGTTTTTAATTAATGAATAAAAGCGTGTAAAAAAAGTGTATCCAATTGAGGATTTTCTTGCTAAGGATGTCAAGAGGAGGAGTCAGTCCTTTCAATTACTTATACAACAAACATTCTTAAAATAGAACTTATGGCCATATATGTAACAGCTCAAGAACCCAACATTACTCATAAGTTGTTATATATAATGTTGCCTGATTTAAGCAGCATAACCAATACACATTGTAAATTATATTACACCTAGAAAGATTTCTTTCGTTATTTAATCAAAAACACAATAAAACGACGGATATAGAAAATGATTGGATTTCGTAAAAGGAATAGAAAGAAAAAAACATTTTGATGAAATACGCAATATTTCGTTATCTAGAAAATTTTATATATTTTTTGTGATTTTGATGAAAAAGTAGAAGGCATAAAGTTCAGGATCAGAGCTTTTAATGAAGAGTCAATTATTAAGAGATTGAGCTCAAACTAAGCTTCGTTTTTATTTAAGTAAGTCTGTTTTATTGGTACTTTACTGTAAAATCTAATAGCTCTTGTGCCCTTCGTAGAAATGAACCATGAAATTTCTTTAAAAATACATGAGGTCATTCCGAAATTGAGTCTAAAAAGGACCTATCTCTGTCTACTTTTTGTAGCAATATTTTTATGAAATTTAATTTTCTTATTAATTTTTTTGAAGCTCAAAACACTTCACTATTACTAAATGCTTGGAATTAAGTTCTAGGAAAAATAAATCACAGACACTTTTAACAGTAAATTCGTCAAATTAATTTCACGAAACTGGGAATTAACCATTTCTTCATTTAATTAAATAATAAAATGACGCTTAGGCACTATTGAAATTTCTTCGATTTTAATTTAATTTGACTACCTGAATCACAACAATGCCTCTAATGATATTTTTAGAGAATTGTCATTGTTTTTGCGGTGATTAAAAATAATTCACAGACCTTTCGAGGAGAATCGTATGATATGGATGTAAATGTTCACAAATGAGCCAGAACGACGTCAAATAAAAAAGTGTAGAAATTTAACAACTTTGAATAAATAGAATCTTTAACGAACAACAAGTTCATCTCACACAGACACAAGAAAAAGAATCAGAAAGAAGTAAGAGAGTGTTACTTCTTTCTTAACAGACAAAAAGAAAAATAATAAAAGCAAGAAGAGATTTTTGGTTTGTTTTTTTGGAAGAAACTTGAGAAATATTTGGTTGAAAAGAAAAGAAGCAGAAGGAAAAATGATTTGATGACTCACCTAAATAATTGCCGCAAGTACATGTAATCGGGACTCTCCTCGAATCGTAAGCTTCGACAGTAGTTGAGATACATTGCAAATTCGGCTGGGAAACCTTTACAAAGTACTTCGATGGGTGTTGACATTTTCTTTTCGGATATTTTCTCATATTTCTGTTTCTTGTTTGTTGCTTTCAATCCTTGCCAAGGTAGTGATCCTCGATTGAAATACATCATAACATAACCTAATGATTCCATATCATCACGACGGGATTGTTCAATTCCCAAATGAGCGTTAATAGAAGCGTATCGAGCTGTTCCAGTAAGATTTTTGTCCTCGCGATAAACAATGTGTGTGCGAGTGCGGAAATCACGGTATTTCTTTGCAAGACCGAAGTCAATAATGAATAGCTTATTGCAGTGTCGTCCGATTCCCATAAGAAAGTTATCTGGTTTGATATCGCGATGAATGAAATTTTTTACGTGTAAATATTCTAAGCGACCAATCATCTGATCAACAAGCATGAGAACTGTTTTAATTGTGAAATGACGACTACAGAAATTGAATAAATCTTCTAATGATGGACCGAGCAAATCCATAACAAGTATATTGTAGCTGCGTTCCTGTGTAAAGCATCTAATGTGAGGAATTCCGACTCCTCCGTTCAGTACTTTGTATAATTTGTACTCATACAGCAATTGTGGATGACGGGCCATAGCACTTTCGACTTTTAATGCTACTTCCTCGCCATTTGTTATATTAATCCCTAAGAAGATATCGCCAAACGATCCACTTCCAATCTTTCTTATAACGCGATATTTATTCGCGATCATGGTATCTGACATTAACGACATTGTGGATTCTTTTATTTATCGCACTATTTTCACTAAACTTGATTTTTCTTCACAATTTCTATTTTTTTTTTATTTTTGAAATTTCAACAAATTAATTTTTTTTATTTTTCTTCTTCTTCTTCTTTGTATTGCCCTTTCTTGGAATTATATATATATATTCTTTCTTATTATATATTTTCTCTTGCACTTTTTTTTCTATCTCCCTCTTCGTCACTCTTTTTTTTATAAAATGAAAAAAGAAAGAAATGGATCTGGAAAAATCTTCTAAAATTCCATGAATTCACTATTTTCTATTCCTTTTCTGACGCACTTCCATAGATTGGTATCCGCGTTAACGATTTTACACGTTTTTGGACGTCTCACACTTAATTTTGATCCTTAATCGAATTTTTCTGTTCTTTGAATGACACTCACTCTTTTTTTTTTTCATGGAGTGTGTTCAAAAACTTTTTAAAAAATTCGACAAAACAATTCAAATTTATAAATAACCGTTAATACAAGAAGTGTTTTATTCATTAATAGCAATGTAATAAATGAACTTGAATGCATGAATGACGGTATACATTGGTGTAAATATTAAATAAGTATTTAATAAGAATTGGTTGATAAGATCAGCTAAAACTCGCAGCACAAAAACTAGATCTTTTTTTGTCATAACGGATTTTAGATATTTAAAAAATTGACAAAAACCCTCAGAAATTTTTTAAATATTATTCATCTGTTACGATGCACAATTATTACTTAATAAGTTAATTATTTTATTTTCCTCAGTCAATATTTATAATTTGTAGCAAAAACAATCATGTCATTAATTAATCAACCACTCGATTTGCCATTTGAATTGTGTGAATTTATTTTTGATTATTTACAAACACGTGATCTTTTGGCATGCTGCTTAGTATCAAAATCATGGCTTGATTTCTTCAATAACAGCATCTGTCACCACAAGATCTTACTATCTATTGATGAGACTGCAGCAATGTGTGATTTATTTAATTGCACTAGAAAATTTGTAAGAATAAAATTGAATAAGCTGAAAAACGAAAGATTTCTGGATATTTTGAGTCATTTTGCAGCATGTGTAGAGGAATTGGAGATTGAAAATTGTGAATTGAAAAAAGAATGTAATATGAAATTTCCCTCGTTAAAGTGCTTATCGATTTCAAGTACCCCAGCTGAAATAATCCATAAAATTTTCAACAATCCCTGCAATAATCTGAAATGTCTAGTGCTGTATAGACTTAATGGACCAACAATTAAAGTCGTGTCGAATTTCTTAAAAACAAATGATTCATTAGAAGAGATTAACTTTTATCTGGATGAGAAGAACAACATCTTTAATCGCGATATTTCCAATGAAGTGACTTTCAAGCTTAAATCATTATTCATAAGCTACAAGTCTGACTATGATTTGCCGACGAAAACATTGACCAACATAGAAAAATTTCTAAAAAGCCAAGGCGACACGTTAGAAACAATTAGTTTAATTAATTCCGCAAACCTTAGACTTCTCTTTAGAACTTGGAATGATTTGAAGGCTGTTAATCGTTTATACTTCTTTTCAAGTGATCCAGTTCTTGATTTTTGCCCATTAAACGTGACTGAATTGAATAAAAATTCAAAAATTACCGAACTTGAGTTGCATGCTTTGGGACCATTATCATTAAACTTAACGCATTTCATTCCATTTCTTAATGCGGCTATAGCTTTAAAGTCACTTGGGGTTTGGTGCCTTAAAAAAGATTTAATTGAGTATGTGGCGAAAAATTTTGATAATTTAAGATTCATCTCATGTGCTTCAATGGACAGCGATTGTCTGACGTTTTACAATGACTTGAAATCTAAAATTGGCATCAATGATAAAATACAGATACATCAATATCTTTAAGATTCATTCACATTTGCACTAGTAGTCAGCACGTCAATAATACTGATTTTTAATCCTTGGATTTATGATTTTGAGCCTCGGATTAAATTTTTTCAATTACTATAAAATTCTAGACATTGGACAAGTTAAGGGGCCGTTCACTTATTACGTTCGTATTTTAGGGGGGAGGGGGGGTTTGAAAAATTGTAACAAAATGTAACAAAGGGGAAGGGGGGGGGGGGTGTCAAGAAGAATGTAACATTTTAACTGTCGTCTGTCTAAAAAAGTTCACGAAAAAAATTTGTTTAAAATTCACACCAAAAACATTTTTTTAAATTTTCCACCTATCACTTTTGATAGCTAAGCAATACATGGTTTTTGTTATATAAAGTAACAAATCAATAGAAAATTGGTTTACAAGACTTTAAAATACAATCATAATACCTATAAAAAATTATCAAAATAAAATAAATTATGAACGTTCAAGGGGGGGGGGGGGGGGGGTGGTTGTGAGTTGTAACATATTGTAACAAGGGGGAGGTAAAAAAAGCGTAACGTAATAAGTGAACGGCCCCTAATTACAATTGTGAATTATATTTAAATAAAGATTATTATAACGTACTTATTTCATTTGCGTATTGACTTATCTCATTGATTATATTAGGTAAACCTTACATCATTGAGATTATTCTCCTTTAAAGATGAAGTCTCATGAGTAGTTCTAACGTGACGATTCTTGGAGCTATTGAAAATAGATTTTTTTATCTGGGCCTACTCTCAAAGTCTTCACATGTAATGTTTACCTAGGCAATGAAAATGGCAGCTTGGAATCCGAATAAGCCTTGATTTCACGAGATTTTTCTACTACTTTGGAGCTGAATTTTCAAGAATGAAAAGTTTGTTGCAAATTAATATTTTCCAAGAAACAGTCTTTAAAAATTTGAATAAGTTCAAAAAGTGATAAATGCACAGATCTGTAATATTTTAATTTATCAATTTTCAGTATATCCCTTGACAGTTCGTCTTTGTGAAAAGAAATTTTGTCAATAAATATGTGTCATTATCACATAAAAATAGTAGTCAAAATAGAGAAGTTTGATGAATCAACTTTTAAAGTTGATATCTTTTTTAACGGTCGACTGTCGACATCTAGAGCTTAAAACCGTATAAATTGGGCAGTTCCAAAGAATAACAAAGTATATATACTACAGGCTAGAAATCTTTAGTTGTCGTTCCCCAAATATTGTGAAAATCAAAAAATAATTAAATAAATGGATTAAAAAGCATTAAAATGGCTAAAGAATATGACTATTTGTTAAAAGTGTTATTAGTAGGTGATCAGGATGTTGGGAAAACCGAAATATTAAATAATTTGGATCAAGATCCGACAAATGAAGAAGGTAACATAAAAATAATAATAAATGACAACAAAAAAGATATTTAATCGCTTAATTTGTCATTTATAGCAACATACAAAACAACAATCATACTTTTAGATGGTAAACGAGTAAAACTACAGGTAAGAAACCGATATTTATACAAATTAAAGTCGTAAATTTTTAATGATGTCTTAATAATTATTTATACGAACAACAATGAGCTATTTCCTTACTATTTGAATAGATATGGGATGCAAGTGGACAAGGAAGGTTTTGTACAATAATTAGAAGCTATTCGAGAGGCGCTCAAGGCATAATTCTAGTGTATGATATAACAAATAAGTGGAGTTTCCAAGGAATTAATAGGTGGCTAAAGGAAGTAGATGAGCATGCACCTGGAATTCCGAAAGTCTTAGTTGGAAATCGTTTGCATCTTGCATTCAAAAGACAAGTTGCAGCTAGACAGGCAGAAATGTATGCAAGTCGCCATAAAATGGCATGTTTTGAGATTTCTCCTTTATGCGATTTCAATATTAGAGAGTCATTCTGTGAATTGGCAAGAATGGCTTTACACAGAAATGGTATGGAAAGAATATGGAGAACAAATAAAGGTTTGTACTATTGATCTCTGCGTAGGATTTAATCATTCCTTAATTATAATTAATTTAAATCTTCTTTTAGTCCTTTCACTTCAAGAGTTGTGCTGTCGAACAATCGTGCGACGGATTCGAAGTGTCTATTCAATTGATACTCTTCCTTTACCAGCATCAGTCAAATCTCATCTTAAATCCTACGCGCTAACAAGTACACATAATAACTTTTATATGAACAACAACAACAATATTAATTGTAATAGTGCAAAAAATATAACATGTAAGTCTCCAACTAGTAGTAAGTTTAGTGCAAAGAATAATTGCAGCATATCGTGATCTGTAAATGGTATATCTTTATTTTTCTTTCATTTCATCTAAATTATATATTTTTCTTAAACATTGAGATCACGTCTCAAATGTTTCTGTACTTTCATCCTTAAAATTGGAACAAATCTTACTTATCTTTTTCCTCTTCTTCTTCTTCTTTTTCTTCGTTGAAAAGAAAAAGAAGTCCTTAATGAACTTGTCTCGGGCAGTACAAAAGTTTTAAAAAGTGTCTAGATTGTGATGGTTTTGAGTGTTTAATTAAATGAACTAATTAATGGATGGGTGAGGTCTAATATTATATTTTTTAAGTCGATGCCATTTGATTTTGACTCCTAACATACTCATCACTATACTACCGAGGAATTAAAAACTTATCAGAAATGTTCTAGACAAAATTGTGTTGGGGTTCAGTAACAAGCAACGTTTAAATTTAAATCAATGTTAGGCTCTGTTCGACTTTCTGCCAGAAAAAATCTATAAGAAAGAAAACTGATTTATCTTTGTTGATAACCTGTTTGTGACGATTTTTTGTAGAAAGTCTAGACCCCATCTTTATGTTCCTCCAAATTAAGAGGTTCTTAATAATTTTCTGTAAATTCAAAACCTATAAATCGACATTTTTATAAACTTTGTATAGCTTAGATTTTGTAGATCTTTAGTTGATTTTGATAAGCTTGTATGAAATTAATTTATTTCTATGAAGAAACAAATTACCAGTCATAAAAAGGACGATAACTTTTTATTTATGTTTTTTTGTTAAAATTATGGCCATATGTTGTTTAAAACTGAGTAAGAAAAAAATAGTTTGTGTTATAAGAGAATTGCGACAGCAGCTAGGAATTAATTGAGATGTAAAATAATTGCTGAGGAAGAGAAGATGTTGACAATGTATGCGAATAAAAAAAAATTACCTTGAATCATCAACACGAAAAGCAATACAGTAATAATCTCAAATGACGACAAAATATGCAAATATGCGAACACAAATTGACAAAAAAAAAGTAAAAATTTGAATTGAACGACTTGAAGAATCAGGAATTTAGAATGAACAGAATTTTTTTACTTGCTTGAAAATGATATTTGATGAAACATGTTGAAGAAGTAGAATTTAGTCATTAAAAACATTACATACATCAATATTAATCGTATTATACCGTTGCGGTACTTAAAAATTGAGAGAAAAGTTACATTCAGAAAAAAAAATAACAAAAAAAGAATATTTAATGTACAAAATAACCAACCATCATGTTGAAGAAGATTTTTAAATTTCTTACAAAAATATGCAAAATTCTGCGCCACAAAAAAATCTCAATTATATGAGGCATTCAATGAATATTCAGAGTAGTGTGGCATTAATTAATTGAGGATGTGTGAAGTTTTCATTTCAATTCAATTCCTCATAAGAGTCTTTCCCACGCAAATAATCAAGAAATTAAGCCTAATTTCCATTTAAAAATAATAATATTAATATTAACAGTTCTTAAACATGAGAATTGGCCATCAACTTATTATTATAAAGAATTCCACCTACAGTCTACAGTCTACCGATCAAAATGCAAAAGAAAAAAAATGTTATTCAGCTTCTTACAAAATCTTGCACGTAAAGTCCAATTAAACTTCCTCAATTACCTACAACAAAATATGAGAAAAATTATAAAAATCTTTTTTACGTCCAGCATGTATTATTTACTAACAATACCAATATATACCTACATATTTTCATTGTTCATTTCATTAATTTTACATACTTCATCAAAATAATTTTTATAAATAATATTCAACACAGATTTTTGATTGGAAATCATCGATATTTGTTACATAAATTGATTCACATTTTGTAGAAGACTTTTTAAAGGTTCATTTGATGATGATTTGTGTGATTTTAGGTCCTTTAGAAGAAAACAATCAATTCTAACGTATTTTTTGAATTTAAATTTTAAAGTATTAATGAAATTTAAAATCTAACGGTTTCTCAGAATTCGAAATAGGTTTAAGTTCAAATTTTGAACTTTAGTGTTTCAAAAATATTGCTAAAAATTTCGTCAAATGAATCGTCAAAAAAGTTGAAATATGTTTAAATTTTGAGAGTTAAAATTTGACGCAACATCACCTTTTCGTCTATCAATCCTCCCTTGAATTACCTTGTAATAACATTTTTTATATTAAGGATATTTTGATATGTGATCATATATTATCTAGTTTGAAATAAAAATCTGCGAAAAAATGTCATAAAAAAATGAGTTTTTGTGTTTCAATTTTTACATATTTTTTATTTGTTTAATTTTTCTTTTTCTAATAAAATATAATTTTTTTTTATGTTACAACTTTCATCAATCCTTTGATTTTGATTGATATTAAACAAAAGTTATTTCTTCTTGTAGGTAAGACATTTAATTCCATAATTTTATGTTTTTGATCGTCAAATTATGTTGAACTTTATCAAATTAAAGTTTTACTTTGTGTGTCCCTAGAAAATAATACGCCGAAAAAAGTAGTTTGTGGCTATTGAAATTTAATATTAATCAATTGAAATATTTGACGAGCAGTCAAACTGCATTTCTTTAATTTACAAAAGTTTGTATCTTTTTACAGCATAAAGAATTTAAAAAAAGCTTTAAAACAAATTAACAAACAAAATTGCAACAAAACAATCTTCTTCCATAAATTATTGAGCTTTGAATAGAATTAAAATAATAATATAATATAAAAAAAATCTCTTCTCAGATCCGCAAACATGCATGCGAATGAAGCAATGTGATGCCAGAAAACGAAATAAATTGGGGATAGAAAGATTCTTTGATAGAAGAAATATCGTAAATTTTTGTCAGTCTTTGAAATTAAAAAGAAAAATAGTAAGTATGTTAATGATAGAATACAGTGTGTGATGAAAATCATAAAATAGTTTCGTATAACATTTTTAACCAACACTACTCCCTCCATTAACTTCCTTTATATTCAACATATATCCATCTATGACAAGCACATGTAGAGTTGTTCATAAGACTTGATTTAATTTTTTAACAGTTAAAAATTATTTGAATTTTTCACTAACACAATCTGACATTTTTTGCTAATTTTAACGGCACTGATGCATTGGAAGCGCTTGTTAATGCTATAGACATTTCAATTCTAATCTATGTCACTTTCTAATGCTCAATATTTCCTTTAAAATAATCAAAATAACTGTATTGGTGACAATTATGCAACAATAAATCAATGAATGAACAAGCCCACACATCCTGTCTGCCTTTATCGTACATTATAAAATTAATGACAAGATACACATCTCACTGTTTTAATTTCACCTTTTTGAAATGTCGTTTTATACACAAAAACTGCATACATAGAAATGAATGAAACGAAGAGAAATCAAGGAATTAGGAGAAGATGATAACAATGTGAAAGAGGTGCAATAGATGTATGTACTTTTTGTAGACTAGACCAATAAATGAAAATTTGGCCATTCTGTTTTGTGAAAGAGTTTTGTTTTAATGTTGAAGGAAGTTTATCTGAACTCATAAACTTGAATAAAATCGTCGGGTTGATGCTCGAGAGTCAATGACTGGAACCACTCTGATGATCTGTGATAATAATAGCCCTCCATAAGTGCTTTTGACTTTTGAAAACAAATATAATAGAAGCCCGCAAACGATGCTCCATTTATGTCACGAATTGTATGATCTGGAACCAGAAAATGCTCCTTCCATCGCATAAATACAAAATCTGACTTTTCGAGTGCATCATAAGTAAAGTCGTCTGAGTTGAAATTTTTCTGATAATCTGAAAAAGCTGTGAACTTTCCCTAAAAATGATAAGATTTTATTTCTATTAAACATGCTCAGTCTTTTATGAGATTTATGACCTTACCCAATGTTTTCTGTCTACATCCTCGTCCGCATCCCATTTCCTCGTTAGAAAAGGATATCTTTTGGATATGATTTCGGCATCAAAAAATGTCGTTAATGTTGGGAACTACAAATAAAAGTAAAATTATGCAATATTATTATTCATTCACCTTATCAAGCAATTGAATCATGCGGAAATTTCACCAGATTAGCTTACGAATCGGTCATACGATTATCGTAGGTCAGGGTTTAAAATAACGTAATTTATGGCTTTTAATTGACAGAATTGCTGACTTTTGCAACTTTGTGCTACATATGCATTATTTTTAAATTTTGTTGACAATAACAATATGTAGGCGGTGCCAAACTGTCGACAATGACATCTTGCATAAATGTTGATGGGACAAATTCACTTTCAAAAAAATCTTTCTTTATGCTCAATTTCTGACAACTGGAATATCAATTGGAAGCTACACATCCAGTATATCTTCATAAGCTAATCCATTGTGGTTTAACAAGTGTCTCCAACATGATCCAGTACAGACGTGATACATACCTCAAATGTCAATCCGGTAATTTTCAAGTAGCCACACAAATAACAATTTTCTTCGTCTACATGCTATCGAATAAAAAAAGTAAGTAAGCAATAAAATAGGACAAATTATTAATTTATTTTGGTGGAACGAGCGATGATAATAATATTATTTCACACGACGAGCATGTAGGAAAGAGTGAATGAATTGTGTACGATTTTGCACAACAGAAAAAAAAGGTTGAACAAAAATAGTCCGTCTACAATGAAAAGAATAACTTGATAATTTCGTAGTGATTGATACTGTATAAAAGTTTAATTCTCCCAGATTGATAATGATGAAAAAAACTTAATCACGCACATGACAAATGTTTTAAATAAAAAAGGACATCGAAAAATGCATCATCAAGTGATGTGCTGTAATCATGATTGATAGAACTTGCTAATCCAGTTAAATAGAAACTAAACAATTTCAACAGATGTTCCAGATAAGCTGATTACATTCTATGGGAACTGACTGATAAGTCTAATCATTTACTGACCATGCTGAATCCCACAAAAATGTGTGTTGGGAGAAAATGCAAGTTTATTGCACGATGGATGAAAAAAAAGAAAGTTGTCTTCAAAGACTTATTAACCTCGTCGATAGAAAAAAATGAACAGTCGCTGGAACTATACAAGAGATCTCTTGGATGTCATTAGTTTAACTTACTTGTAATATCACTTCTACCTCGTAACTATTTCCTTTACTTTTTTGGAATCCCTTAAATCGACTCCCATTGTACAGCAAACTTTTATTTACTCCAATTTGCTTAGAATTTTCACGAAAAGGTACTTCATCTGTTAATGCAGGCATTTAGTTCTGTTTCTTCACTATAGTATGTTTTATTTGCGGACGATGTAATCAATTCTTTTTATTATTTACGTATTTTATGAGAATTTCAGCAATACAAATTTTATTTCCAAATTCAGAGTTTTAAAATATTTTTTTTTATTTTGAATCACTACGACTTGAAATTTTGAAAACCGTTAAAATTTTTTGAACAAAAATTGAGTCTGATATTGAGAAAAATATTCAAAAATTTTAAAAACGTTATTTTAAATGTTAATTGATTCATTATTTATTGTTTTGAAAACTGATTATTAACCACTACCATTATAAAGTTTGCTACCTGAAAAATCTCCCTATATCATCAACTTTATCAGAAAGTTAAACTTTTGAATATTTTTTGTGAAATCAGATCACATAAAAAGGTAAACAAAACAAATTGCAACATAAATTTGTAATATCATGGATTTTCCTGCAAATCTGGAGCTTAATACCATCTGTAGAATGTGTACCACCAGTTTATTGGACCAGGAATGCTATATAATAGACGAAGATCTTGAAGATTTGGTTTATCTGCTTACATCAATAAAAGTAAGAAATTATTTGTTGTTTTCCATACAAATTATATTAATTAAGCTATTTATTTTAGTTCGACCATATAGAACATAAAGATAATTTAAGGATGTGCATCAACTGTTTCGAATGTCTGAGAACATTCAATGATTATAGAACAAATTGTATAAACATCCATGATCGACTTATTAAGCTGGATCTCCGTGAAAAGATTGAGGAATTAGATCCAGACAAGTATGTTGTAGAAGAATTGACAGAAACAAATGATGGGATGATAGAATTTACTGAAACTGATGATGAGGAACTGCTTTTAAATAATCCAGTAAAAAATGAAGAAATTGTTTATGCTGTTGAAAAGATTTTGAGTGACAGTGAATATCAGGAAGAGATAATCATCTCTAAATCATCCATAAAAGCATCGCCATCAAAAAAATTAGATACATCAATGGAAAAAGGCAAGGAAATTTACCAAAAACTACTACAGAAGTGCCTAATTTGTGGCAAAGCGATTGAAAAGAATCGAATGGAAGGACACATCAATAAGCACAACAACTTGAGACCATATTCATGCACTGAATGCAATAAAGAATTTTATTGCAAACAACTACTAAGACTGCATAAGACATCAATCCATACAAATATAAAAGTAAAGTGTGAGATTTGTGATAAACTATTTCCATCGGCACGAGCCCTATACTCACACAATCTACGACATAAAAATGAAAATCGGTATGTGTGCAGCTTATGTGACAAAAAGTTCAACAATTCAAACTCATTAAAAAGGCACATGGCAATTCATTCTGGCGTTCGAGAATTCGTTTGTTCAATTTGTGGAGTTGGATTTTATCGACGATTTAATTTGGATGTGCACATCAAGAATGTCCATAATCAGACAAAAGAATTTATATGCACGTACGATGATTGTAAAAAGAATTTTGGCTATGCCAGATTACTTAAAGATCATATAAGAAAGCATCATCAAGTCAGCATCCTTGAAAATGTTGAGTTCTAAAAATCAAGCTCCATACACCCCTAAAAAGTCATTTTCAGTTTTAATAAATTAATTTTCATTTTAAAAAATAAAATAGCACAGATTTTTCACTTTTTTTTCTCAGAAAAAGTATGTGGTGATGAATTTGCGTACAGTGGGCGGTCAAGCTATTTGTGAAGATTTTGCATCTTTTCAGCGAGTGATCAACAATTTCATTAATGATTCCGTGTTTACCGAAAAATTCATTGACCTTATAATTTAATTCTGATCGCGACGATTCAAGGACAGCTCTAGCTGAAATATTAAACCACTTTATGGAAAGTTTTCGAGTTTCATAAGACATATTTATGTACAAATAAATCTTCATGATTGGTATAACAGTATTAGCTGTTATGGTTGAGAGTCTTACAAGTGCAATACTGAAGCCTCATTATGACAGTCAAGTTCATAATGATCAAATTAAAAAATTACCATTTTTATTTTTAAACCATTCTTTTATTTGATAGGTTTCTTGTTTGACACAGGAAATATATTAGCAAGCTAACAGGATTTAGGATTATATTAGAATTTGCTAGAAGATGTTATTAAGTTTAAAGTTCAAAATTATCCGTTGAATATTTAAACCAATTTTTAAGTTCAAAAATGTCTGTTAAATTTTATAAAATTCACAATTTTGAAAACCGTTGAGATTTTGAACTTTAATTTAATTGTGTATTCAACTAAATTCAAATTCCAGAAATATGCTACAACTTTCAGTTATTTCAATAATATCTATGAATATAATTTGAATTCTATGAATTCTAGGTCAATAATTTAATAAATTCCTACAGCATTACATCATGCATTAATATCACGTAAATCAGGACTGATATCACTCTATATTAAATTCAGATTTTTTCTGGTTGATGCTAAACGAACGCAAAAAAGTTTTACAAATAAATCTTTTTCATCATTTAAGTTCATGACTATGATTATCGTCATGATGATAATGATCTTGTTAATTTTCACAGCTATTTACAAAAAAAGAAATGGGGTACAAAAGTCAATCAAAAGCAGTTTGCGTTAGTTTTGAATAAAAATGATGCACAAATGGCATATTTTATTATAATTTCCAAAAGGCTAATTAATTAAGCTTAAAAAATTGACACAAAAAAATTATTGATTCTCATAAAAATGTAAAATAAAATATCATCTCATTTGCACTTCACAAATTATATCTTTTACTATTCTTTTTGTTTTCAAGCCTCTACCCTAAAAGTGCCACTAAAATCTTTATCAATGTAATTAAAACCTAAAAGGAGCTTTTTTTGCATTGATACTCGTATTAATCGATGAGATTAGAATCACAAAATGAGGAGTGAATTAACGTCAATACATAATTACTGATCTTGAAAGCATAAATTAAACATAAAATTATCCTAGGAATTTGATATCTAATTCACATCCATCACATCCATGACATCCTCTCTACGTCTTAAATAATTTTCAATTATTTTATTTAATGAGAAATTCTTGGTGCAAGCTTAAAATTTCCGTGTTGATTTCGTTACCATTTGTTTAACTGAGAATGAGCTCAGCCCTAAACCGATTGCAGCCAATAATGCAGCTGACAATCCAGTGTGACCGCTTTTTGCGATCTGTCGAACAGGTCCATTCACTTCAGAAGTGATCTGTAATTAATAAAATAATAAAATATGTTAATCATCAAGGCATGTGTGTGTTTATCACTATCACAAAATATTTGGATACGAGCCGTCTATAATGTCACATGAAACAAGCTTTAAGGTCGGCAAAAAGAAGTTTGCCGTGAATCAAAACATTACGCGATGTTCATCTCGTCATCAAGATCATTTGAGGGATTTTCACAGAATTTAATTAAAGAATTTTTTATTTATATCTTGAATATTTTGGGATTTTTTCTGTTTACAAATTGCCGAAAAGAGATCTCTAGATGCGCAAAAAAGTTTTTTTTTCTTCTTATTATTGACACTGACCTGGCTGGTTTGTTAGATAATCAGCTGAAAAGTTTAGAAGATACAGGCTTTCTTCGTCTTATTTACTTTTATAAATATAGAAAACACTAACCGAAATCTAATGTGTCGTACGGTATTTAGGCGCTGCAAACAAAACATCAGCATTTTTAAGGGCATTTAATCGAAGGAAAAGTTTGATTATGTCTACATTTTGTCTGCTGCATAGTTTTCATGTTTGATTCAGATTTCTTGAATGTGATTGTTTTTGTATATGTCAGAGATTTCCATAGAAACTGATGATTCCTTTTATCATGCCGAATATTTGTCAGAAAAAATAACGGATTTAATCATTTTGAATTTGATTAACTGGTTCAAAAATTAAATCCGTTATTCCTCAAATTTCTTTTAACCGTTATTTCTTAAATGAGAAAATTTACTGTTTATAATCGCAAGTTAACAAAATCTGTGCCTCAAAATGCGCAATCGTCAGTTAAAAGCTGCTATATGAGCTATTTTCTTGTAATTTAAGTAAAGCTATTACACAATCATTATCAGAGGCTTGAGGGAAATTTGAGACTCAACAAAGAAACATGACACATCTGTCTGCCTTTATGAAGACATAGTTGAATGTTTGACTTTTGGACTTGCAATTGCGGATACAACAAGTATAGAGTGAATACCTTTTCTTTTTCTTTAAAAGTGGATAAAACCGGACTTCAAGGTTATCGTACACAAAAAGCAGATATTCTTCTACAATCTCCTATCTATGCTGTAATTATCTGCGTACTTATAATGAACTGAATGAAATGATAATAGAATGTATTGCCCCAAATTATTAATTCGCAGTACTTTTGCGGCGCCAATCGGACTTTAATATGAGAAAGTTTCAGTCTTGTATCCATGCGACTATTTTTATAAATAAATAAAATGTTCAGAATCGTCACAATATGAAAATGTTTGTTCCTACAACTTTTTTTATGGCTTACTTCCTTACAACATTTAATCAAGGAAAGATATTTTAATTATTCACGGAACTTAATTTGCATGAAGAGCACTGATTGATGCTCTTTTGATGAAGTAATTGTAAGTTATGCATGTATTGGAGTTGGTATTTCCAAAGAATGTTACATGTGAATCATCTTAGGTAATAAAATTAATTTAAAAAGTGAAAACTTACCTGACTGTAGTTCAATCTAAAGGCATACGCTAAGGCTTGACTTGTCTTCATATTCTGATGCTGCGCTCTACTTAATTGATGTTCTAGCGAGCTTAATCTGCAAATTGTTCGACAAAACAATATTTTAATACTTTTTATATCACTTTTTACTGCAATTATTATGCACTGATTTTTTATAGTCTTTAATTTATTTTATCTTGTTCACTTGAACTAATTCTGACTTTTAAATGCTTCTTCTTCAAAATGATTATGGAAAATGTCTATCAGTGCTAAAGAAAATGTGTATAAATATGAATAAAAAAATTAAAGTTTCTTACATGAGATTGATTGTGGAGGAAAGAATATTCGAAACTTTTTTCGGTATCACATTGATTCGAACACAGTTTTATGGGCTATAAATGGATATTACTGCTGAAAATTCAACTTACAATTTCCATTTTTTAAATTTTATTGCTGGAAGTCTTTAAAATAGCTTTAAAGCAGACTTTTGATTAAAATAAAGTAAAATTTTGTACACTAATCGATATTTAATTCTACACAAAGGTTTTACTTGAAATGTTAATCAATTATTGACCTTTTTACAAATTTTTGATACTTTTCGTGCATTTTAAGATAAAACCGATAAGAATCCTTATTAATAGCTAATAGTTTGTTAATTAAACTCACCTTTATACAAAATATAACACAAATGTTTACAAAAAATACTTTTACGACTATTTTGATGATTTTGCGATTGTTTTGGTTTTGCGATCATTGAATTATAAATCTTTTTTTGCTCTTGTTAATGTTTATTGTATTTTCTCTATTTATAAAATAAATTAACTATGCTTTTAATGACTTTTAATAATTTTTATGATTTACACGAGGATTTTTTTCAAAATAAACAAAGAAGACATTTGCTCATTTTCAACGAACTTTCCAAATTTAAATGTTTCAAAACCTTACAACAGTTTTCGTTCACGATTTTTGATGAGTATGCTTTAAGCATTGCTCCTAATGCACGTTTAAAGCAGTTTAAAGCTTCAAAAGATACGTAAAATTCTTAATAATTTTAAGCTTTAAAAGAGCAGTGCTGCTAGATGTTTATTGATCATAAATATTCAATGCCAACTCTGAAACTTATCAAAGACACAAAACCACAAGATTTTCTCATAAGAATCTTATTCGGTTTAACACAAGAATTTAATGACCAAAACACAGCAATTAAACACGTGAGATGCAGTATTTATCAAGAAGATCCAATGGATAAATGACAAGATAAGATCCAGTAAGTTCTTGTGCAATTATTTAACGGTTTTATCAAAAACAAAGTAAAGGTGTAGACCTAGTAATACGCGCGGTAGCCCAAACTTCCATATCTGCTCAGTTTAAAAAAAAAGTCGAAGAAGTTCACAACAAAAAAATTATGTTCTCCACAATTTTTAAGATTTAATCGAAAAGGAGACCTTTTTTAATATAATTAAATAGTGTATTTGTTAAATCTGATATTTATTCATTTATCTAGTGACGAGTTTATTCAATTAACTGTGAAATGTTACAGAAAATCCATTGTTTTAAAATTTTAGTTGCGTTTTGTCTAAGTTTATGTATATTTGAAAGTGGTAAGTCAGTCTTTGGATCTTGTGTGCTGTGCTGTGTGTAGATTGAAAGAGTTGAACCAAAAAAATCAATTTAATAGGTTTTTGGAGGAAGGAAAAATTAGAGAAAAAAGCACGCTGAGTAATTGAAAGTTGCGGAATCGATTTGATTTGTGTATAATTTTTAAAAGTGTTAAAAAGAGCGAGGTCACCACAAAATTTCTCTAGTTAAACAAATAAAATCAAAATTCAGAACTTGTTCTCAATACAGTGCAATCGACAATTGATCATCTGTCAATGACATTTAATAGAATAAAACGATTGTTATTGATGATATGCAAAGAGGTTAATAAAATCTTTCCTGAAAAAGTTATTGCGACTTATGCTACTTAACTTAACATTTCAATAGGCTGCATTCAATTAATTGTGATATCAACTATTCTACTTTTGTCGTAAGGTATTTATCGTAGGTGTTTGTGAGTCAATGGATCATATTCGAAAACTTAACTGGATCCCAGTGCACTACAATAATTTGTGCTTAATCTTCGGAATTTGAGACGTCTTAGTTTCGGTTTCGGATTACCGATAATCTATATAAGCTGATTATGAGTTTACTACTCATCACTTTAGTAACAGATAATAAAATATTAAGTGCAGACCGATAAACTTCTTCCTGCTATCTATTTTTGGACGTTCAGTGCTTGCACAAGTCAAGATTTTATGCCAAATTGGAATTTCCAATAAGACATTAATTGGATGATTTGAGATTTTTTATCAACACCTTTGAAATGTTAAAGTTTGGAGAACTTTGAGTGATTCTTGTGTAATATCCAGTAACAAATCAGTGGAAATTCATCGACAAAGTTATTTAAATAGTATGTAGGATGTAGGAAGCTTATTAAAGTTTGTTGTATTTTGAGGCAGTTTTTGGAAATATTTTGCTTCAAACTTAAGGTTTTGTAAACTTTCGGATAGTTAAGCTCAATTCCAACAAGACAACGCTTTAATAGTGTCCAATAATGACCAAGAGAAGTCTATTAGCGCACCCAAATCCTTGACTCACTCTCAGGTTTTATCATACAATGCAGTAAATATATATATTTCCACTTATCGTTGTACACACAGAGTGCACATTTGTAATAAAAGACGTGATAATGAACTTTGCGAGTATTAAATTATCAAAAAAATAATGTAGTAATAATTTATGTAAATGAACTGTATTGGAAACCACATAGTAGTCAGATTTAATAGATGTGGATGAAAGCAAATTGAAAGAAGAGATGAAATAATAAATATTATGAAATTCACTTCGCACACCAAAAAATACAAAAATGTATAACATATTAACTCATTGAAATTAAATATCATACGGAAAATCTTTTTCTGTCGAAAGATTATACAGCTTTGAGTTCTCTCACCGCAACAATTTTTTTTGTGTCTTTCTTCTCGACTGGTTTAACCAGCTCATTAATAAATGTTTTATTTTATTTTTCTGTCAATGCATTCTGCTCATCTTCGTTTCTGCTAATTCACGGATCTTACTCATGTATTGTATATAACTACTGGATTAAGGTGCCAAATATGAAATTTGCTTATTATTTGAGTCCAAGCCGCCCTCACAAGAGATAGCTGTTCCTTTTCTTCAATCTTATACGTCACGAGTCTTGGATTTCTTTCTAAATTTACCGTTAGCTTTTTTCGCTAAATATTGACGAAAATAATTTACTGTTCTATATTTTAGCATGCGAGTGAGTCGCAAGTTATCGACGAATCGTTCTAGTTTACCTCTAATACCCTTATTAGATATCATAGGAAAGAAAATTCTATATGTGATATGGCTATATATGTAAGCTACAATTACATATTCTGTTTTTGTTTCGATGATGCGTGTCTGTCGTTAAGCATATCGTAAAGCATTTATCATAACATTTTTATTGTGTCTCGTTTACTTCACAATTTTATGTAGAAAAATGTCGTACGGAAACCAATAATTTCTTTCTGCGAGCTACTGTTAATGAACGAAAAATTAAATTAAGCTAGCGAACGGTCTCTTACTATGTATATGCGCGTCAGGTAGCATGTTGGTTTTTCTTTCATGTCTAAATTACATTATATAACATTTGTGCTTAGTACTAGTTTTGGGTGCTGTTAAAAATGGGGGATTTGGGAGATTTGATTGACATAATTCAGCATTTTCTAAATTCAACTGAAAAAACAAATTCAAAAATTTTGAACCTTAATTGTTGAACTTGATAAAAATTCAAATTTCCAGCAACCGTTACTTTTTAAATTTCAAAAGCGACATAATTCGGCATCTTTTATCAGAGATCGAAGCTGATTTTTTCGGCTTAACTCAATTTTTGATTTTTTTGATAGAAAAAAGCCACTTGACACCCATTTCAAGTATTTAAATTAAACTTTACATGCTTAACTATGATTCTGTGTAATATTGTGTCAGTATGTAGCTATAGTGAGCTCAGAATTTCAAATTAGCCGATGTTAAGCCGAAAAAATCAGCTTCGATCCCTGACTTTTATAAATCATACAAATATTTAACTTTATATGACCACAAAAATATCTATCCAAATGACAAAAACGGATGATTCAAAAATTGGACGTGAATATCCAAATGATATAGAGTGTCATACTGGCGACTACGCAAATTAGTATCGTGAGGCTTACTTAATGTCATTATTAGATGAGTGTCGATTACATGTCATTAGATTTGTTTTCATCTTGCACAATTTTGACATGTGAACTTTTGAGCTCCACCTTTTCAGCGCAAATTAAATTCGCAACTTTCAATTTCTTGGGTATTTTTCTCCTTCCTCAGAAGTTTGTGTCTGTGTAAAAACCCAAGTAGACTTAATCTGCTTTAACATTGAAAAAAAAAATAAGATATTAAACGAACAAATATTTCTTGCCGTATTTCCAGTTGTTTTAACAGAATCAACAATAAATGAACAGATAGCTCCATTGAATGATAGTAGTAAGCAACAAGTGACAACGTCATCGAGTATCACAACCACAAAAGTACCTGAAAGTAATGTCGTACCGCTTAAACCATCACAGAATGTGACACCTGCAAGTGCGTCATCTCTGTCGCCTGAAATTAAAATTTCAAACATTACTGGAAATTTCTCCGATAGTGCTGAAAATGGACCAGAGATTCAATGGTATGTGATAAATGGCTGGCATTTCTATTCGGTCTTTGGAGTGTAATTTGTGTTTTGACATCTACCCTGTTTTTTCGTTATAAGCTAGTAGCTGAGAAGAATAAAAAAAGTGATTTTTTTAGCTCACTAGTAGCTTAGTAACGAGTAGTAGCTTATAACGAAAAAACAGGGTATTTTTATTCTGTTAAATCATGAAAGTTTGAATAGTACTATTTTTTGAAATTGAGAAGCTTTCAAACATTACACGTCCGTTAAATTTCAATTATTATTCCACATTTCAACTTTTAAACAATTTAACCACTTATATCACTTAAAAAATCATTATATACTGTTCCAGTTAACATTAATTATAAATCTACGTCAATAGATTTGTTTCTCATATACCAAAGCAACATGTTTTATATCATTTCTTTCTGATTTTAGGACTGATGTCGATATAACAGACGAAGAGCGAAATAAAACGTTATTAAATAATGATATTAAGGATATACAAGAAGATACACACGAATACTACAACAGCACGGTTATTCAAAATGAAAATTTTACAAATCTTCATCGGCAAAGTATATACGCAGATTGTGCAAATCTTACCATAAATAAGCTTCTGTCAAAGAGTCATCGACGAGCAATGACTGTAAAGTTACCATTTGAATTTCAATTCTATGGACATCCTATAAACAATATAACGTAAGAACACAGCTTCCTTAAAAACTCTGAAGCAATGACCATAACGTCTTATTCTTTGTTAATTTAATTTACAGAATTGCAACGGGAGGCTTTTTGTATGCAGGTACAATGAACTTGTTGATTCCCTTTCAATTTTCAATTTAATAAATAAAAAAAAATGTTAATTTATTCATTTTAGGTGACTACATTCATAGTTGGCTCGCAGCAACGCAGTATATTTCGCCTTTAATGGCTAACTTTGACCCCAGCTTGTCAAATGATTCATACGTAAAATATTGCGAAGACGGTAAGCATGCGTCCGTTCAAAAGAACAGTTAATTTTTGTTTGCATAAATCATTTGCACAACAATTTTGTTCTTTTTCTTTATAGACAAAGCTTTTCATGTATATTGGGAGAGAGTTTATCTACAAAACAAACAAGACGTCGGACCTTTCACATTTAGTGCCTCGTTATATCAGGATGGTGACATTGTTTTTGCTTACTATTTCCTGCCAATACCTGTTACACAAATAGAAGATGATAAGCATCCAGTAAAAGTAGGCGTAAGCGATGCATATATTATCGATAAGACCGTCTTTCAAGCACGAAGGAAGACAATATTTGAATATCATCGAGTCAACTTTCCCGGACCAGAGATTAGAAATTTCACAAAAATTAAGTTAACACCTTTACCAACATGTCACATGTTTAACGACTGCCAGTCATGCTTACAAAATGATATCAAATTTACATGTAATTGGTGTCCTTCGCTAGCTAGGTGTTCATCAGGTGTTGATAGACGTCGTCAAGAATGGAATAATCATGGTATTAGTTGCTTTATTGTTTATTTTTAAACACATTTTTTTTGTGCGTAGTTTGTTTATCGAAAACGCTGTGTTGGCATGCTATAGACCTTATTTTATTGTTATCACCTTAATTTTCTCTTTAATTGTTTCGAATTTACGATAAACTCACTAATTGTCTTCTTTTTAGATTAAAATTTGCTTCTTATTATTGATTATTATGAACTTTGCATTATAATCAAGGAGCTTAATGATTAGGATAGCTTCAGAATAATATTACTGGAAAATAACGAGTTTATAGAATTTTAATAATATTCCACTGGAATATTTCAGTTCCAAAAAATCTTTTCCAATCAATTCCAATGAATGTTTGACATCCATAAAGAAATTCGGTCACAATTTAATCAAAATTGAATGCTCAAAAAAATCAAATAAACGCAAATTTTAATTAAGAATAACTTTATCGCGAGCTGCTAACCTTATCAAAATATTAAATATGTCATGACCAAATATTTTTGTTTATTTAATTCTCTTTCAAGGATGCGATAAGTCACAGTTAAGTGATGTGAAGCAATGTGTAGCAAATCCAGAATTCCCAGCAACTGAAAAACCAAATATAAGTAGCAGTAGTGTAGTTCCAATTGTAACAAAGGATAAGTCATCAGAAGAGAGATTAGCATCGCCAGTGACTCAGCCTGAACAAAAAGCCAGTTCAGGTTTTGTGACTTCAATTTGTGCTATATTTGCAATTGTAGTTCTTGGAGTTTGTTGGATATTTTATGCATACACACATCCGCACACAAGCAGTGGACAGTTCTTAATTCAATATAGACCAAATGCATGGCGTTGGCGACGTGGAGAAGCACGATATACAGCAGCAACCATTCACATGTAGATGCGTTAACAACATAAGAAACAAACAAAAATTCTCTCATTTCTCACTTTCCTGTACTTATAGTAAGTGTGTGTGGATCAATATAGCAAATATGTGATGACTTTAACGATGTTGCAATTTCAAAACTCATTTTTTTATACTTTTTTATGTTGAAATTTTATTTTATTACTTGGCGTATTTTTATAAATTAAGATAAAGAAAAATCATGGAATCGCTCGTTACTCAGTCAAGATATTTTACACTACTCTCGATAATTTATTTATGCATCGAAAACATTCCACTTACCTCCAACAATTTACCTTCATTGCCAACGATATAAAGGGAATATATGCTCAAAATAGTAAACCAACCAGAACTTCCATAAATAAATCAAACATGCTTTAGATTCCATGAATTTTCTTGAGTAAGGGTACACACCATTCTCCTATCATACTGATATTTACGAATAATCAAAAAACAGATATATAAATTTTTGCATGCTTTTATACGAGATAAGTGAGCAGGGATGATGTTTTAAATTGCTTAGAAAGCTTAATTAACATGAATTTGCGGATTAATTGCTTCGAAAAATTCAACGGCTTTTTGAAATTTAAAAAACTTTAAGATCAAACATTTTGAACTTTAAATTTTGAAAAAGCCCTTAAAATGTTCAAGTAAAATCAATCATTTTTCAATTTTATAATATTTAAAATCACTCAAAAACATCCCTTGCACAGTCCTTACTGAAACAACAAAATTAGATTTATGCACATTTGTAAAATTTTTGTTCGCATAAATTGTCTAGACTTAAATGTAAGACTTTTATTGTTTAAATTAGCTACTAAATTGGTCTGATTTATCACAAAAAAAAAACACTATGTCCATTCTTTAAGGAAATACCAATAAATCTATACATATGAATAATGAATAATATTAATAAAAATGTATTTAAAATACTTCAAAAGAAAAAAAAACTATTTTTTCACCAAATATATTTGAAATTACTTTGTGATGAGAAGGTATTGAACCAAATTTGATGGGCATAAACTCATTCACAAGACAGTTCTAAGAATTAACTTGCAATGGAAAATAAATAAATATTTTATTATGATAAATGGAAGGATAATTTTATATGAAATAACTTATGCCTATAATGACAACAATAAATGAAATAAATTTTTCATAACAAACAAAAAACCTGTTTACTTTTATTAAGTGATTTGCCTCGTTTGTGAATTTGAATAGTCTACAGCTCATAAAGTTCATGACAAATTGTAATAAAAATCAATAAAAGCTATTATTTTATTATTATGAAAGGAAAAGTGATTCAGATGCGTTGATTAATGACATTTGACTTTATGGAAAGCTAGTCATTTTATTAATATCTGGAGATCTGATTGATTAATTGAATTTAACAGTCATTTAATAATCAAGGATTCTAAAAGTTCAAAAAGTGTAACTTTTATACCACTTTTGAACTTAAATTCAAACTTTAAAAGGTCGTTTACTTTTGAACTTAAATTTAAATTTTAAAAAATCGTTAAATTGAACTTAAACTTCATTGTTGTAATGCAACATTTGGTATCATACCAAAAAATCAAACTCAAAATCACAACAACTGTTACCAAGAAACACATATTTTATTTATTAACTTAAAATAAAATTGGTGCATCGAAATTTTTGTTGTAATTCCTTAACACGATGGAATCTTTCGCTTCTCTTATCAAAAATGAATCTCTTCAAGATCGAATTAATCGCATGAATGCATGGAAAGATGCTCGAAAGAAGGCAGATGAAGAATATATTAGACAACAACGAATCAGAATGTTTATGTGAGTTTACTAGTTATTTTTAATAATACTTTTCGGCTCAATTTCTGGGAATTTAATTTAATTCTATTAGAAATGATTGCGATGACATTCGCCCATCACTGAGAAATCAGTTATTAATTGATTCGAAAGTGTGTCAATTGGAGCAAATCAAGGACTTAGAAAAACGGGTTCAACAAATTAAAGACATTGAAGATAATTGGCATCAAGTCCTGAAACGAGATAATTTTTCTAAAACTGAAATGGAAAAATCAAAATTGACTCAAAGGCGATATGAAGGATTAACTGTTCAAGACTACCTTAAGAGTCAAATGTATGAAAAATCGCAAACTGATGCTCAAAAAATGCACGAAGAAATAAACTTAGAATTAGAGCAGATTTCAATTTCTAAAAAGGAAGAAGCACAGCAGGATGAAGAAAAGATGAAAAAGCAAGAGGATGTCCGAAAAAAATTAAATGAAGAAATTACGAAGCAAATTCATAGAAATGACGAGCTAAAGAAGAATCAAAAGAAAAAGGAACTTGAACTTGAAAAGATTCTCAATAAAAAGATTGAAAATGACATGATTAAGGAAGAAAATGCTCGAAGATCTGATCAGGTAAGGAAGGATTTTTAACGAGTTTTTTGGATTTTAAATTTTGAACTTTCCAGTGGAAGTTTTGAACTTTCCAGTTAAAAAATTTGAAAGTAAACTATTCGTTATTTAATTCTAATTACAGGAGCATTTTCGGAGTGAAGTCTTTCACTACCTCGATTATCTGAGAAAAACGAGACATCAGAATGATATCGAGCAATGCGAGAAGGAAAAGCTAATTGATGACATTAGAAAGAAGAGAAATGAAAATGAATGGATACAACGGTGTGAATTTGTTAAGAAAAGGGAGTTGGTTAATCAGCAAGCACGCTCCATTCAGGTTCATCAAATTATCGAGCAGGATAAAATGAAAATTCGAGATGCTGCGAAGGAAAGAGAGGATAATTTGAAATTTAATGAACGGGAATTAAATGAACGAATGAAGATCAGAGAAGAGAAATGGAATGATAGAGTTAAAGCACATCATTATGGACAAGAATTATTGGAACAAAAGAAAATGGAGCATTCAAGAGACATGGCTGAAAAACAAAAATTAGATGAACAACTGAAGCTGTTTGCAATAGAACGTGATCAACGTGAAACGATGGGGCGGGAATTTATTAAGAGCTTTGAAGATGTTCTACCTATTCATTCCAATTTGCTTGTTATCAGAAAGGGAAAAGCACATAATTAATTTAAACTTTATCACTTTATTTTCTTTTGTGTGATTGCACATTGATTGCCAATTTTCAAATAAAAACTTACTCGCACGTTTTACATTTTTAAAATATAATTGATATTTATAGTATAGAAAGACTTCAGATTTCAAGTAAAACGGTCTTGTCAGTAAGAAACTTCAAAATTTTCTATGTAAAGCCAACTTCATGCCAGTCTTTTTAAATTTTTATCAACGTATTTTTCGAATTTGAACAGATTAAAAGTTATTATCACGCACACAATCATACAATTCGCGTAAAAGTGGTAAAAGTTAAGAAAATGTTAAGAAATTTGTTAAATATAGCTCGAACTAAGATAAAATGGGACAATTTGTTTAGTTTAAAGTCATGCAGGAGTTGTTCTACAGCCAACGATATTACCAGACTGAAATGTCAGTACAGTTCAAGTGATATTTATTAAAAATTGTCAATTTATAAACCGGCTAGGTACGTAATTATTAATTGAAACTTTGTCTGGATTGTTTACAGACGATCCGAATGACGTTAATTCACTTATGGAGTTTGAAGGAATCTGGCCAGAAGATGCGAAGGAGCAGTTTATTAAAGATATGAGAGTTGTGGAAAGCTTCATAAGTGATAAAGAAGAACAAGAAATCCTAACTGAAATTGAGCCGTATTTAAAGCGTTTAAAGTATGAAAGAGATCACTGGGACGATGCTATTAATGTATTTAGGGAAACTGAAAGAAAATCTTGGTACCCACAAAATAGAACTATAATTAATCGACTCATTCAAACAGCATTTAAAAAAGATGCAAGCACTTTACCACACATTCATGTACTGGACCTTGCCGCTGACGGAGTAATTAAGCCACACGTTGATTCCGTACGATTTTGTGGATCCACAATCAGTGGATTATCCCTACTTTCTGATGCTGTAATGAAATTAGTTCAAAGTACGACAGATCCATTTGAGGCACCAGATGAATATAGACAACAGCCAAAAGTTGACACATCTAATTTATATTCATGTAAAGTGCTGCTTAGAAGAAGATCACTTTACATTATGAGTAATTCTGCTAGATATAATTTCACACATGAACTATTGAGCAACGAGGAATCAATCTTTAAGGGTCAAACAGTTGAAAAAGGAAGAAGAATATCAATAATTTGTAGAGAGGAACCTTAATGAAGCTTGTTTATTTGATATGCTCAGCTGTGGAATATCTGTGGATATTGATTTTGGTAGGAATGAATCAAAACGTTAAAATCAACTTTCGAGCCTACTGTAAAAGTAATAGCTCAGAAAAACCATAATTAGCAATAATTAGCTACAAATCTAATTGAATTGGGTAATCTAATGCATATGCTGCAATTCAAAGTAGAACTTCCGTCCATAAGTATTTGATCAAAATATCCAAAAAGCTCACCTAAATCTTTTGAAACTAGAAATCGCATGATTTTTGATAAACTAATCAAAAATTTCCCTCAATTCTCGCGGTAATTGCGTTATCTACTTATGAATGAAAGTCAAAGTCATCAAACAGTCATCAAATTATCAAAAGAAGTAAATCAAACTTAGAAAAAGATCAAAATCATCCAATAAAAAAAATCATGTCAATGAAATTGAAACCAACTAGTATGTATGTGCTTTCAATTATCTAAATTATTGTTATGATTAGAAATTGAAATAAGCGTTGAGCAACAATTTTTAGTTCAGTTAACCTCATGATGGGTAAATGTTGAACATAATAATGATGCTATTAGTCCCGTTAAGAAATAATTTTTACTGTCAATTCCTTTTAAAGAGTATATCAGTAAATAATCTTATCTTCAAATTATTGCTTTTAAATCACCTCTAAAAAGATTTAGTTCCAGCTGTTTTTGAGTTTTTTTTTGTTGAAAACTTAATTAATCTTTTAAAATGTGTTTGATGGTTTTTTGGAACAATTTTATAGTGTCTAATTCCAGTTAAAGACTTGTTAATTATATTTCAATGTTCTTTATTTGTATTCTTTCGTTGTCACACTTATTGAACTACCCAATTTGAAATTCATTTAACCGTTATTTCTATTTTCGTTGTTCCGGATCCCTACATCCTCCTCTAAGCTAAAAAAAAAAAAAAAAATAATAAAAAAATATTAATAAAAGTTCAGCTTTTTCTTTATTTTTCATTGCAACACGACTTAAATCGTTGACTATTCATCCATATATCGAGCTGGTTTTTGAATTCGTCTCTTTTGCAATCTGAGTCAAAGAAATTACTGACGGCCAGCACTCAACATTGCAAACAAACACACGAGATTCCTCTACAAATGCTTCGTCTTGTCCTTCATATAGTCTTGACAGTGGGTCTGCAATATTGTCTTTACCAGGTATATACTTAATATCAAGATCGTAGTGCTGTAAACGCAATGCCCATGATTCAGCTCTGGATATAGCTCGTTTATTAATACGAAAAGCTCCCTTGAAAATGAATTGTAGTGCACGGTAATCTGTACATAACGTAAATTTAATTCCCGACAAATAATAGTAGAATCTTTCTACTGCCCAAACCGCTGCCAATGCTTCTCTTTGTGCTTGTGGATATTTCCTTTCGACAACTGTCAATGTCTTCGCAGCAAACTCAATTGCCCGATTTGTTGACCCAAATTTCTGTACCAAAGCACTTCCTAAACTAGTTGGTGACGCATCTGTGAAAACTATTGTCTCATGCTGAGGATCAAACATTCCCAATTCAAGAACAGTTTGACAAAGTATGTCCTTTAGCTTATCAAATGATGCTTGATGATTGCTTTCCCATATCATTACTTTATTTCTCACTATCTCTAGGAGCGGTTCACTGATATGTGATAAATTCGCTATGAATTTTCCTAAATAATTAACTAATCCATGAAAACTTCTGACTTCCTCTACCGTTTTTGGTCTAGTAAACTTTTTAACTGCCTGTATTTTTGCTTGCGATGGTCTCACTTTATTCTTGCTTATTGTTAATCCCAGAAAATCGATTTGTTTCAACTTAAACTCGCATTTCGCCTTATTCATTGTCAAATTATTCTGTCTCAACATGTCCAACACTTGTTTCACGCGCCCGTCATGTTCTTCCTCTGTTTCGCCAGCGATTATGATGTCGTCCAAGTAGCAAAACGTTCCTTTTATGCCCTCGATCAATTGACTCATGATCTTCTGAAATATCTCAGGAGCACTACACATGCCAAATGCTAAATGCTTAAATTGCATAACGCCTTTATGCGTCATAAACGCTGTGATGTATCTGGAATTCTCATCCAGCTCAACGTGATGATATGCACTCTTAATATCGATCTTTGCAAATAATGCACAATTTCTTAATTTACTTAAGATGAATTCCAGAGTTGGGATTGGAAATAACACTCTCTTGATTGCTAAATTAAGCTCTCTCATGTCAACACAGCACCTTATATCATTAATTCCTTCTTTTTCCATCATCTCCCGAATCTCGACAACACGTTCTTCTTGCGCACGTAGAATGCAATTTAAAGTTTTCTGTTTCGGTGCCACCTCATCTACTATAATCAACTTAACTTTAACATTCGGAATTTTGGGGAATTCTTTCACCATGTCTATATTATTTACAGCTAATCCTGTTTTTTTTTTAAAACACATAACTTCTCTGATGTCGATCTCGACAATAAAGATCGTGCTGCATTGCTTATCACAAAAAAAATTCCTCATGAGATTGTGGACGATCCTTTGATATTCTTACTAATGCAACAAATTTTGCAATACATATCAATGCTTTATTACTTCCGTAACCTGTGAATCTGTCTTTCACATTATAATTCAGATCGTACATATTCGCTTTCCTCTCAAGCAGATCGAGGAAATCACTCTCTGTCAATGTATTGATTGGTGATCCAGAATCAATCAAAAATAGTATATTCTTTCCTCCCACGTTAGCATATATCTCCGCACTGTTTCCAGTCTTTGGGCAATTCAATATCCCAATCATCATCCTCAATTTGATTTATGCTTTCTACTTTCTTATAGCCTCCCGTGTTGACCTGCTTACGTTTCATTAAGCAAACTCTTTGAAAATGTCCAGTCTTTTTACAATTATGACATGTCGAATTCGTTGCTGGACAACGCGAACCTCCATAATGCTTTGCTGATCCACATCTATTACACTTTTGTGCGTTGTATTTAGGTTGACCTTTGAATTCCTTTGGTTTCGACCATTTTTTTAGAGCATTAATTACCTGCTCTTGGATATTTCCATTCTTGTCATTATTGCCAGCATCTTTCTGCAAATCTCCAGTCATCTTACACTGATTCTGTTGTTGCTTAATCTCATCATTAATTGCATACGAAATCAAATGTTCAATACTTTTGCCAGTCTCAGTAACTGCATAGTGCTTTACTTTATCACTTTTTGCTCCTTGCAATATCTGGAAAAATACCTCCTCATCTACTCTTTTTGTCTCAAAACCACATCTCATCGCCTGCGTTCTTAATCTCACCACAAACTCATTGAAGGTTTCTTTATCTTGCTGCTTTATCTCACCCAAAACTTGCCGTTCCAGCATTGGATTAGACTTTGATTGGAAATACGATTCCAACCGACAAATGGCATTATCATATTGTGGAATAACCAGCAACGGTGTCTTCAACTCTAGCACTTCATTCTCTGATTGTGGCGTCGATCCATAAATTCTTTGTATCTCTCTACCTCCAGCAACAAGAAGCCATTGAAACTTTTTACTTTGCGTGTGTATGTCTACAGCTTCCGACCAAATTTCAAATGCTGTCTTAAACTCTAGCCATTCATTGAATAAATCATGTCCTTTCAGCATTCCATTGTCATTAAACTTAGGCATCAGTTGAGTGTTCCAATTCGCTTCCATATCTATAATGGAAACATACAATAGAATTACATTCTGTCAACATCACTCATCAATAAATTTCTGCATTGAATTTAATCATTGCCGCTAATTTTATATGTATCAAAATTTATTCACAGTCGTCTCAATTTGCATTGAATTTAATCATTGCCATTTCATATCGCATTAAATTGAATCATTGCCTATACATAATGCATTGAATTTAATCATTGCCTCTACATAATGCATTGAATTTAATCATTGCCTGCATTGAATTTAATCATTGCCTAACATAATGCATTGAATTTAATCATTGCCTGCATTGAATTTAATCATTGCCTCTACATAATGCATTGAATTTAATCATTGCCTCTACATAATGCATTGAATTTAATCATTGCCTGCATTGAATTGAATCATTGCCTTTTTGCCTTCCATTATTAAGAAGGCCGACACCATTTTCTTTTTCTTCAGAAAAAAATGCAAACTTTTCTTAAATTTTCAATTAGAAACACCAATTTCTTACTGTACTCGATGTTTTTCCAGCCTCTTAAAGTTCCAGCTAGTCGCAGCGCCAATTATATAGTGTCTAATTCCAGTTAAAGACTTGTTAATTATATTTCAATGTTCTTTATTTGTATTCTTTCGTTGTCACACTTATTGAACTACCCAATTTGAAATTCATTTAACCGTTATTTCTATTTTCGTTGTTCCGGATCCCTACAAATTTTAATAATTTTTATGAAGTAAATTGGGCGTTAAATAGTTTTTAATAATTTAGAGGCAGGAAGCTCATACCTCGAACTCTTCTAAGTACCAACCATATCAGTTACACAAGGCACAACTGTAAAATATTCTTCGAAACATGAGGAAATCAGAACAATTCATAAATTAAGAACAACCCAACTTGCTATCTCAATTATTGCCAATTTGCAGTTTCATAATAGAAAAGCACGTCACAACAGATGAAAGGCTTAAAAATATATTTTTGCATAAAATGATTACGATAATTTCATTAACAAAATGATCAGGAGAAAATTGGATTTGCTTTGTGAGTCAGTGTGATTTTACTGTGCGGATCAATGTGCGTCATCCCATTATACGGCGCATAATGTTTATGTCATAGCTCGTCATAGCCCGTCATAATAAAAAATAATATTTTTGTCAGGTGTATAGGCTGAACTTGTTGGAAATTGGCATTCAAGATAATTTAATCAAAATCAGCATAAAAATACTTTAACTTAATTATTAGACATAGTTCGCGCATGCATAGCTATAAGACAATCATCAAGCACAGCAAAAAGCTATAAAATAATAAATTCAATCATACGTTCACGAAAAATCAACTTCAAATTCCGCAAATATCAAATTAGTTCTTATTAAGCACTTAACTACATAATGAGATTTTATAATAAAGCTTATCTAAGCCAAACACAAACCAGAGAAAGTTTCGATGCTTCTTAATACAGTTGTTAATTAGATGAAAGTTCATTTTCGCACAACAATCAAGTGATGTAAGCGAGAAGAGTGAATTTAAGAAATTTTATCACATACACTCATTCACGTATGATGTTAACGAAAATAAATGAGTAATATGCTTTTTACATGGAATGAAATTATCTGTCATACAAATTCGAAAGTGTTTCATATTTTGTTTATTTATGCCAAACATTTCTTGTTTCCAATGAAATTATTTTAAAATAATTGTCATGCACAACTAGGTGCTTTTCGCACTTCTTGTATCCCTCACCTTTGGACCGCTGAGAACGGGAATGAAGTGGAAGTAAATCATGTATGCGGTAAAATGTATTTAATTAATTATTTTTTCATAATTAAGTCATTCGGAAACGAAGAAATTTACATAAAAATGTGTTTAAATTAAAATTCACTTTATTAGGCGCTGCCCCAATTTTCTTCTAGATTATCCATTAAACAAAACACAAATATAATTTACAAAAGCTTTAAACACTTCCAATTTTGCTTTGCGGAGAGAAGAAAGCATGCCGATTACCCGTAAATAGTCCTAGTAACACCGTACAATGATCATTGAAATTCATAACTCATCGTTTAGCCTAAATTCCTTTAATTTTGCAGCTGACACCACCGCACATATTTATTGCTTCTGTAAAAACATTATTTACTTCTAAGTCACACTTCTCTTTTCCCATTTTCTTATTCGCATATTGAGGTTTCAAGTCATTGAAATAATATTGTCAAATAAAACAACTCTCTGCATATTTCAGCCTGCCTGCGAGTTTATTCAACTTGACATCGAAAAGTTGTAAAAATAAAAACGATAGTCGCGAGTGAAAGAGAAAATGTTTGTGTCACAACAAGGATCTGAAACAAAAAAAAAAGGCATATAAAAGCTTTAGAGGTTGAATCATCTGTTGCTATCATATGCTTATTGAGAAATTTGTTGACGTTGGAATGCTTATCTTATGAAGCCGGACTAAACGAGAAATTTCTCTGGAATTTACGTAGATGTAGGCAGTTTACTTCTAGATTATCATTGGGGCCGTTCACTTATTACGTTACGACAAAAACCGACTTTTTTCACCCCCCCCCCTTGTTACAACATGTTACAACTCGCAACCCCCCCCCCCCCCCCTGAACGTTCATAATTCAAATTTTTTTCGTGAACTTTTTTTTAAAAGACAGACGACAGTTAGAACGTTACATTCTTCTTGACACCCCCCCTATGATACATTTTGTTACAATTTTTCAACCCCTCCCCCCTAAAATGCGAACGTAAAAAGTGAACGGCCCCATTGATGATTGAGATTTTTTTGGTGGTTCGGGGTTGTTCAGCTATGACGTCTTCAAGTGACATTCAATTTGTTGGCATTATAGAATTCCGGTAGTTTTTTTAAATTGCCAGAAGAGGAGTCAGACATTATTCAAGGGAGGTGTCTAAAAATCTCGTTTTTAACGTCATTACTGGACTACGCCATCTACAAACGTTATTAAAGTATTTTAAGTTCACTAATGAGATTCATGAAGAGTAAATAAATTGGCATCATGTAGAAGTGAATCTCGAAAAATTTGCCGTAATAATTGCTCTCCCAAAAAAAATAATAAACCATTAAAATATTCTATTCCAAATTCACATCAACACATGCCAACCAACCAAACCAGATTAGCTGCATTTCCGATACAAAAATGCACCTTTATAACTTACGAGAATGCTCTAATTTTTTCAAAAAATTAAAAAATTCCGAGTCCCGTTACATTTCAAAATTAATTAATGACCGATAATGACAAACCAAGCGATAAGAAATCTATTTAACACAATTATATAGCCACATGCATGTTATAACATAATTTTATGCAAGAATCTTGTTATTCCTGATAAATGAGTTGACCTAAATTAAGTGACAGACATATAGGCGGACGAATAATCATAAAGATTATTTTATTCCAAAAATATAAGCAAAAAAAAATAAGTTTCTTTAAAACCAAGAATTTTAATTTTCAATGTGACCAAAATTGTACGTGTGACCTCATTTGTAGGAATTGAATGAATAATTTTCACTACTGATTGAATTTTTGCATTCGTCAAAAAATGTGCAATATTAAATGAAAGGTTGATTTCTTGTGAATTAATAAATTTTTTGAGGTGGGTTTTAGGGCAAGGGATGGAACTTATCTGAGTTGGTTTTATTAATTAATGTTTAATTATTTTTTGAACTGTATGAAAGCTACTAATATCTTTTTATTGAATATTTATGAATTAATCTGTATTTGAAGACACTGGTAAGCTTTCCTGACAAATAGAGGCATGCACAAGACACTTGCTTTAATAAAATGCTACCCTTTAGTGCTGTGGAGATTGATGTTAAAGCTAGTCGGTAAAGTTTTTTTTATCTTTAGGACTGTTCAATGTTGTCAGGTTACAGTTCTTAATTATCCATTAAAGCTCGGATAAAGAGTTTGGAGTTGATCTACTGGATTTTGATCATTTTTTGATTAACTCCTAACCATTGGCTCTAATATATAAAATTTACTGTCAGCTCAGCTCACAACCTTTAAAATGTCAAAAACAAATGGTTTCAGATTCAACTAGAAACTCTAGATCTGAATGGAAATTGACCCCACATTTGTTATTTTACGCAGCTATGAATTCTTAATTTCAGCATTATGTCACAAAAGAAATTGTTTAACGATTAAGAAATCGAGAATTATGTTAAGCAAAAGATTTTATTATAAAATAATTTTAAATGTCAAAAAACTATTAACAATTTCTCAAAACTGTTAATTTTAAGTTTTATAATACAAAAAAATCACAATTCCATAGCTAGCTAATTAAATTCTGCAACCAAGTTTCTTCCCCTTCTCGCAATCATTTCATTCACAATAAGCAAATCTTAGCGAATTAACGTTGTATAAGTAAATGTTTTGACACACAGCTATTAATGATTCATATTCGTTTTGTGGAATTTCTCACAATGTTTTGATAACTTATTAATTATTTAGGCTAGAGGATCTTCAGTTACATCCACAGAAGGAAATGTTAATGAGGTTTTCGGAGCACAGAACAAAGAATTTCAATGCCTTTTAAGACACACAAAATGTGTTTTTCCTGCGTAGATAATTGTCAATTTTGCAGCAGGTAGCTATTTAAGCCACAGGAATCTAAAAAGCTATCAATGAAATTATTTTACGACTTGACATTCAAAATAGAGCACAAGTAAGAATTGATTATAATTTAAGAATTTTTATGACACAAACTTATCAGAATTCCACGACACTACTAAGAATGCTAGACAAAAAAGCTATTAGAAAATTATTTAATAGCTTCAAAACAACAAAGAAAAGAAAAATCAATCTTATTTTTCCTTTCAACACTCAAGTAAGACTTCGGCAATCTTCGGTAAACTTAACAATTTTTTTTTTGTTTCTTACTTCTTCTCTTTTTTCTTTTTTTGTGAAATTGATGTAAGCGTATTTGTGTGAAACTACTGCAACCGTTAAAAAGAAATTTTCAGTTCTTTGATAAACTTGAGAGAGTTAAAACGTGTTTCTTAGAGTCGTGCGCTAAAATAAAATTCAAAATATATTTATTTTTTTCCTAAGTCTACGATATGATCTACTTCTTGTAAGAGAATTAAACTCGATTAAAAAATAAAGTTTTTTTTGTTCGAAAGGATTAACTGGAAATTTCATACAATACTTGAGAATTATTAGTGCAAAGAACATATATGAACATACATATATGTTCATGAAAGAAAAATTGTCGTGTGCAACAATAGAACCGTTGATTGTGCATAATTGAGATCAATTTTTATTGGAAATAAAGAGATAACAAAAAAAAAAATAAGTTCGCCAATTAATAACAGTGGCTGGGACGAGAGAATCGAAATGAATGAAAATAAAAAATGTGAATGACAACAAAAGCTATTTTTAGAAAATAATTAATGGATTAAGATTTCGAGAAGAATAGAAGGTGGAAATCAATTAAAGATTCTCAAATTGAAATAATTTCTTTTTTTGGTAAAAAAGTGTAACAAAAGAATAGTAAAAATAAATTAGGAAAATGATGCGAAATAAATGTCTATTAAGTCTTATAACAATATATGGATTAATTACTGCCCTTAGTGTAACAAATGGTAAGTTCTTTATGCTGTATGTGAATCTATTGGAAAATGCTACAATTAATTAATTTTATTTAAATAGAATTAAAAACTTTTTGGCTCATTAATTTCCTTAATTGAGTTCTGTGAGGTTCAATTTACTGTGTTTTGGGGGTTTTAAGGCTTGCAATGTTGAGGAGAAATTCAGTCGCAATTTTGATGATTGAGTTAATTTCTCATATGTTTCATAAATTTGATTGATAAAAAAAAAATCAGAAATTTTTATAAAAATTTTGTTAAAAAGAAATTTAATAGGGAATTTTCAGAGGACCCCCCCCCCCCCCCCCAAAGCAAAAATTAAAATAAAGAAAAACAATATTGGTTACTATGGTGCATTTTAAGGACAGCTGCAAACCTTTTTGTTGAAAAAATCAAGTTTCCTAAACAATCATAGTTTTCATTTCTCCCATAATTTTTTCAACCAAAAACTGCATTGGAGAGAATGGAAAAATAAGCTTTGGCTATTTAGTGGTTTTAATCAACTATTTGTGAAAAATTAATTCAACTTTATCTTTAATAGTAAAGTCATTCGAAAGTTTTAATGAGCCTTAATGAATGCCAAGATTGAGTAAATCCAAAATCACAATTCCTAGTCTACAAAGAGCTAGATTAATGCTTGATAACTCACCAAACTATCAATCTTAGATTCAAGTGACAATAAAAGTTCAAAGGAACATAAAAAGAAGTTCAAAAAACATGAAATTTAGCATCATAAATCAATTCATCAAATTATTCCTGCTATGAATTTTGATGAACAATTTAATGAAGAAATAAACTATTTACGTGCGAAAAAAAAAAGTCGATTACAAACCAATTTAATGTTGGAAATCTAAAATGCTCAAGCATTTGCGAAAATTGTCTAGAATATTTCAGGTGTAGCAAATTATCATAAATTATCTTGTTGCAAAATAAATCCTATTGAAGCTGCATAGCAATGTTACGCCACCTCATTCTCGAAAAACTTCAAAATTAATGTCGAAAACTTCGAAATTTAAGCCGTTTTTTTGATTTTTAATTGTCGGTTATATAAAATGTAAACAAAGGAAAAATTTGAAATCAAAATCAATGATTTTAGCTACTATTAATCATTATTTGTCCTAATCAACATAATCTTTGTAATGTTTTATCACTTTTAAATAGTTTACACCACAACAATGAGCTTAAATAAGCAATTTATAAAGGAAATAATAATTTATGAATTCATTTACTAGCACATTTACATGTTTTGTTTACTTTTGATATTTTTGTCGTGAAATTTTTTAAATTACAAATTTTTACTTTTATCTAAGCATTTTCAGCACAAAAACATTTGAAAAATCTAAAACATAATTTCCTTCAATGAACCAAATAGTTTAAAGTTTTGAAATAAGTAAAATTAAAGGTTTTTTGTAGCGGTTAAAATAAATTTAAAACATTCAAAAAAATCTGTAAAAACTCTGAAACTGTAATTTTCGAGGTGTCGTAACACTGCTGCATACACCTAAAAAATTGAAAGAAATGTTGTAATTGAGAAGAAATTTTGCCTCTTCAACAGATTAAATTTGAGAAATTCTGAAAAATTCTATATTTTAACTTTACCTTAAAGTTTCATTTTGAATACCAAAAACCTAAAACGATTGCAAAATAAGCATTAATTTCGCATCTAATTGGATAATTAGTAATTACCTCATTCTTATCGATCATTCACATCAGCAACTGAAATGTACACTAATTTCTCACAACACATGCCGCACTTAACAATATGCACTACCGTAACAATTCTTCATTCTAAGCTGATCAATAGCCAACAACATCTTCTTCACATGGCAAAAAAGGAAGCCAAAAAATACCAAATAATTGCATGTTTTCAATTCCTTTCTTGTGGCTAAGCTAATAAAATAAAAAATAAAAACAGAGTTAAAAAGAAGCAGAAAAACAGGTGCGTTTTTTGGTGAGTGTTACGGTCAAAGAGCTCTTTCTGCTGGAATTTCAAATAGTGAATTGGAAATGGGGATTTCTTGTTTCGTTTAAAGTAGGCCAACAGTTGGCGCACAGTGAGCGTTCTTCTTATTGAAATTCACTCGAATGCCTGCTCGTTATATTTACTCTTTATTTTTGGATTATCAGCAATTTGGAAGCTTCTTTTTTCGGCGACTGTTAAATAGAATTTCTTTGGTAATGATTGCGATTATTTTGAATTGTATGAATTAAATAAATTAATTGGAAAGAAGTGGCTACTAATGTGGATTTCAGCACGTTATAATTATTACATGATTAAGACTTTTATGTTCGAGTGCACTTAGTAAGGGAAAATAGAACAGTCGATTCAGATAAATTGCTTATGATTAATCCTTATTAAATTATTCAAAAAATCTTTTATCTCGAAGTCCACAAAAAACCCGAAATATTTCTCATATGAAAATAATATTCATAAATAATATAAAATATCTTCGATTAGTTTTGTCGCGTTGAGCTAAATTTTCTACATTCCAACTTCTATACGTTTCGATTAAAAATTGAATTTAACTGTTTCTGATATTAGTGCTATTTCTATACACATATTCGATCGTGTTTTTCTTTTTCTTTTCTTTCTCCTATCTTTTATGCCGCAGAAACATGAATGTTGTTGATTGAAGTATCTCAACTTCTGGGCAGGGTTGTCGTTTGCATTTATTAATAGGCTGATGATCTGCCAGATGGTATAATGGATGGGTTTCAATGTGTTAACTTTGAAAAACATGTTTGAACATTTTATTATGCTGTATAAAATACTCAATTGACTCTTGTAAACAATAAACAATGTCAATATTATGTTCATGATTAAAAAACCTTTAAGTTTGAGGATTATAGTCTTAAGATTGTTTGAATTGATTTCAATCTAGATTCTCAATCTTTGATCACTTCTGAATTAGAAATTTATCAAAAAACTTGAATTTGAAGTTAAGTTTCTACTTTTTACCTTCAATCTCCTTTCAATTCAATTCCTGGATCTCTAAAACTCAATAAATCAAAATCCCCGAAAATTCAAAAGTTAAAGTTAAAAGCATAAAATGTAATTAAAGTTCTTTCTAGATAACTTACATGTAGGCACTCCACCAATTAATTTATTTAACATTTAATCACCATGAAATTTATTTCATGCAAAAAAATAAACAATTTACAAATTGCTTGATACCCGTAATTAATTGATTCTTAATAAAAATCGAATTTACAATTTTTTTTTTCTCTGACGAGGCAAATTTCAATGTGTGCTGAGAAAAATTTTATAATGAAAATTGCTTCTGTATTAATTGAAAACAAATGTTTGCAGATTATAAGTTTATTTACAATTTTGTGGACATTTGGGAATGAGTGTTGATGACATGTGGCTGTGAAATTGTTGTACTTTTGATGGCGATTGTGAATGAATTTGTAAGTTGGAAATATTCGAAGTAAGATTTGAATTGCACTTAAAGTCAGAAATCATGTTGAAACTAGATTTGAAGCACATCTTAGTGCGTTATGTATCCTACATAGTTTTGTTTCTAGTTCTCAATATGATTTTAAAACTGTTATTTTAGAAAATTAAAAATGGTGATTTTCACGTCATTTTCATCAACTAAAGCAATTAGTAGCTTTAACTTCAAATCTCAAAAGAAACTCTATATATCCCATTCAAAAACCCAATCATTCCAACTCCAAATACAGAATTTTTGAGGGCACGCTCACTTATCAATAATTCAACATAACTTAAATATTTTTTAAGTGCCTGCCTCACAAGCATGATTGCTCATTATCAACTTAAGCACTCGAGTAGCAAACAAGATTTGCAACCGAAACTCGAGCCATTAATAAGCGATACCTATCAAGGGATTATAATGAGTCTTAATCTCTCTCATGTGTCTTAAGGAAATAAATTTACTTTCATGTCTTACAAATGCTAAATTATAGCGAAAAACAAAAAAATCTGTTCTGCTTTCTCTTTTGTTAATCAAATTCAAAAATTACACATTTATCTCAAAACATTTTAAGTGAATCATAAAAAGTGGCATATTTATCCAAACTTATAAAGTTTTTTTTTATCGACAAAGGCAATAAACTCTAATTATAACCCTGAAAGGCAATAATTTATTATTTATGTAGTGTAAGTTTTCTGTAGAAAATTGATTCCTATTTTTTTTCTTCATCCAACACGCTAAAATTTTAAAAACAGCTATGACAAATTGATTTTTAATAAATAAATAAAAAATAAACCTATTTCTCATCATTGTTTATTTCCTTTACAAATACGCGGTAATGAACTAATAACGAGATGTTAAATAAGTTGCAAATATTTAATTTTACTATTTTGAAAGATTTTAGCAACAGATTAAGGTTGATTAATGTGCCAAAAAATGATTTGAAGACTTAATTCCTTTGTTCTATAGAATTTTTGGATGGAATGCGTGAAATAGAAATTGATGAATCTAATTTTGAGGTTCTTAAAGAATAAAATGAGAAAATGATTTTTGCAGACATGAAATTCGCATTTTCTACATGACAATATGGGAAAATTGGTAGAAATTCAGAGTGTCAAAATGATAGATTCGTTGAACTCAATTAATTTGATACAGTTTGGTTACAAATTGTGCTGAAAAGTTCTAAATTGACTGGCAATTTAAATTGTTTCTTGCTTTTTAGAGTGAATATTTCACGACATACCCTTGCAAAAATTTGAAGTTTTGTGACTGCTTGCATCAGCTTTGCGACAGATTAGAAAATAAGCTTAGCTTAAAGAAGAGGTTTTGTAGTTCAGTGGTTAAGTTCCTAGAGTATTTATTACCATGAGCCCAAACAGAGAACACAAGAGTTCCAAACTTAAATTTAAGATTTATAATTAATTTGTCCTAAAGTTCAAATCCAGCGATACCTTAATCAGCTTTAGAACATAATCTGAACTCGCTAAACATGATATTTGTCTAATAGTGTCAGTTTACAAACTTTAAAGCTGCTTTTTAACTGAAACAACCTCAAAGCTT